CATATTTTCCACACACCTCTCCTCACTGATTGTGTACTTTCACACAGCTGGTAGCTGCACCTTCACACACACACTGCAAGCTTTGTTTGGAGTAAACACTGGCACTCAACCACTGCTCTTATTCAACAGTGCAGTCCCTCCTGTGAGATTATTGCATTTAACTGCCCACTGCCAGCCTGAATTATGGATTAAACCCCCAAAAACTCTTCTGAAGGAACAAAGCCAAGATATGATAACTCAACATCAATTATTCTGTTAATGCACCAAGTGCTGTAATTCCCATTCTGCTTCAGCACTCATTTTTCACTTGTTTATTAATACCCATTTTTTACTTTTCCAATTTACAAACATGACTTTTCGTTTTTTGAAACCCCATATAATCCAGGAGAGACTTCAAAAAATCCCAAATATTGCCATTTTGAGAAAAATCTGCCAACTGCAAAGCTCCTGCCATTCCTATGAAACAACACCTAAGTATTCTGAAATAACAGTGCTGCTGTTCAATGAGAATAATATAAAATTATATAATAATTTTATTATATAAATACCTTAATGGTTGGACTTGATGATCTTAAAGGTCTTTGCCAACCTAAACAATTATGAATTATGATTTTATATGTAAGATATGGGTTGTTTCCTGGTGTGTGTTTTGCATAAATATGTAACACATATATCCACATGTAAAATATATATAAAAATATAATATATAATAATATAATTAATTATAATAATATAATAATATAATATATAAAAATATATGTGCCAGCCTGTACCTTACAATATTACACAATGATTTAGAAGGAACAAGGGGATAATTTGACAGAATTTACTTGAAAATGCTGCATGAAAAGGGACAAATAGAATGATTAAAATTCAAACACAGTAGAAGCTGACCAAAGTACAGGTGCCTAAAGGCAGGGCAGGTTATTTGAGGGGTTCATTTGCAAAATCAGCTACTGTGGTTTGCCATGGCCATGCTGAAAGTGCTGTGAAGCCNGCGCTCCGGCTCGTGGTTCTCTCTGCAAGGAAGGAGCAGCCACAGTCAGAGCACGGCTCACACTCTGTACTCACTGATTGTGTATTTTACACACTATTGTACTCACTGTGTATTTTACACACTATTGTACTCACTGTGTATTTTACACACTATTGTACTCACTGATTGTGTATTTTACACACTCCTGTACTCACTGACTGCGTATTTTACACACTATTGTACTCACTGACTGTGTATTTTACACACTATTGTACTCACTGACTGTGTATTTTACACACTCTTGTACTCACTGACTGTGTATTTTACACACTATTGTACTCGCTGACTGCGTATTTTACACACTCTTGTACTCACTGACTGCGTATTTTACACACATTCATTGATTTCGTATTTTCCACACACTCATTAATTTCATATTTTCCACACACTTCTACTCACTGACTGCGTATTTTCCACACACTTACTGATTTAATATTTTCCACACACTACTCTCACTGATTTCGTATTTTCCACACTCTTCTACTCATTGATTTCATATTTTCCACACATTTTTACTCAACTGATTTCATAGTTTCCACACACTCATTGATTTCATATTTTCCACACTCTTCTACTCACTGATTTCATATTTTTCACACACTCCTACTCACTGATTTCATACTTTCCACACACACTGATTTCATATTTTCCACACATTTTTACTCAACTGATTTCATAGTTTCCACACACTTATTGATTTCATATTTTCCACACACTTCTACTCATTTATTTCATATTTTCCACACACTCCTACTCACTGATTGCATATTTTCCACACACTTTACTCACTGATTGCATATTTTCCTACTCACTGATTTCATATTTTCCTACTCACTGATTTCATATTTTCCACACACTTATTGATTTCATATTTTCCACACACATCTACTCATTGATTTCGTATTTTCCACACACTTCTATTCACTGATTTCATATTTCCCACACTCTTCTACTCAGTAATTGCATATTTTCCACACACTTATTGATTTCGTATTTTCCACACTCTTCTACTCACTGATTGCATATTTTCCTACTCACTGATTTCATATTTTCCACACACTCATTGATTTCATATTTTCCACACACTTCTACTCATTTATTTCATATTTTCCACACTCTTCTACTCACTGATTTCATATTTTCCGCACACTTATTGATTTCATATTTTCCACACATTTTTACTCAACTGATTTCATATTTTCCACACACTTATTAATTTCGTATTTTCCACACACTTCTACTCACTTTTTGCATATTTTCCACACTCTTCTACTCACTGATTGCATATTTTCCACACACTTCTACTCAGTGACTGCATATTTTCCACACACTTATTGATTTCATATTTTCCACACATTTTTACTCAACTGATTTCATATTTTCCACACACTTCTCTCACTGATTTCATATTTTCCACGCACTCATTGATTTCATATTTTCCACACACTTCTACTCACTGATTTTGTATTTCCCACACTCTTCTACTCAGTAATTGCATATTTTCCACACACTTATTAATTTCATATTTTCCACACACTTCTATTCACTGATTTCATATTTTCCACACACTTCTACTCATTTATTTCATATTTTCCACACACTTCTATTCACT